AGGAGGTGAGAGACCAGGCCCGTGGTCCCAGACACACCGTGAGGACAGCGTGCACACTGCAGCTGCAGGACGCGCGGCTCTCCTGCGTGGGAAAGCCCCGGGGGCCACCGAGGCCGGCGGAGACTGGCCGGCTGACCGGCTGTCCTGGGCATTTGTCCTGGACGTCTGCCTGCTCCCCTCCGGGGGAGGACTGGGCTCCGGAGGGGGAGGCAGGCCGCCGGGCGGTGTGACCGGGCCTTCCCCGGCTCGGCCGGTGGCGGTGCTCTGGAAATTTCCATGGTGTCGGTCGTGGCAGTTCCTGCTCCTTTGCCCGGAGCCCCGGGCGCAGATGAGCAGTGATAGCGCGAAGGGGCTGTCCCCACCGTGTGTGGGCACGGGCGCCTGGGCTGCGGCCCTTCCCTGTTGGGGTTGGCAGGCAGAGGGCCATGAGGTGGGGAGCAGGGAGGGTGGGAGAGGAGGCTGCAGGGCTGTGTAGTAACAGGAGCTTCCGAAGCCACGCCTGGGGTCCCAGGCCTTTTACTAGAAGTTTCCAGAAGGCGGCCAGGAACTGGGGTGGGGGCTGCCTCCTCCGTGGCCCGGCAGACGGTCCCTGAGCAGCAGGAGGGGCGCACGGCAGTGTCTGCAGGGCCGTCCAGCATTTGCTTCTGTGATTCTGTGACCCATGGCCCTGCCTTGAGGCATCCTGGCCATGGCCACTCCAGCCGAGTGACCGGGACTGACCATTGGAAGCTCAGGGCGGCAGCGGGGGAGACGGGGGAGACACGGAAACTGCTGGAGCTGCAGCATCGCCGGGACAGGCCACTGGGCCCACCTGCCCACCCCTCCCCGCCTCCCGCCGCCCCGGCCCTCGGCTGTTGAGGAGGTGAGGGCACTGTGCACACTGGGAGTCCTGGGAGCCATGCTCCCTGTCGGTTCCCAGCTGGGAGTGCGGGTTTCCTGGCCTCTGGCTTCCGTCTTGGCCGCCTCTGCTGCTGCTCACGCGTGTGAAGCGCTGGGGTGGCCGTCGGCCCTGTGAGGCCGTGAGCGGGGACGGGTTCCGGTGGCCCCGGGTGGCCCTCTGGGGACGGGTCTGTGGGCCGCTGTGAGCACTTTCTCTCAGAACCCGTGTCCTCGGGGCTGCCCACCTGCAGTGGGATGGACCTCCGTGTGGCTTCCAGTTTGGGGTTGTTGGCAGTAAAGTGCTTTGAACATTACGTAGTTGATCTGTGGACACGCACGTGAACCTTTCTGAGTAAGCACCTGGGAAAGGAGGCTCCATCAGAATGACGGGCTTCTAGTGTGCAGGCCTTCTTATCTTTTGTGAGATTAATTCCTAAGTGTCTTAATTTCAAGGTCTGATTACTTGCTGTAGTATATAAAAATACCACTGGTTTTATTTTTGGTATATTAACATTGTATCTTGTAAGCTTTCTAAGTCAGTTATTAGTTCCAATATCTTTTTGTAAATTCCTTCAGATTTTTATATGCCCAACCATGACCACTGCAGCTGAAGAGCGTTTTGCTTCCTGTTGACCAATCGGATGCTTTTACCGTATTTTTCGGACCATAAGACGCACTTTTTTTCCTCCAGAAGTTGGGGGGGAAAGTCCCTGTGTCTTATGGTCCAAATATAGCCTACACATATACTTTAAAAAAAAAGTTTTTTTACTTGCCCGGCTCTGTGTGGTCTCTGTGTGCTTGCCCGGCTCTAAAATGGTTCTAAATGCTGCTGTTTACTTTACAGGGTTGATTACATGTGTTTATGACTGTGATGTTGGGTTTTAATGCACTTAAAATATTTTAGGACACTATTTGTTTCAGAATCTTTTTTTTCTTCATTTCCCTTCTCTAAAAACTGGTGCGTCTTATGGTCCGGAGCGTCTTATGGTCCGAAAAATACGGTACTTCCTCTTCTCCTGCAGCATCAGTACGCTCACCAGCCTGTCTGCTGTTGGTTGCAGAAGGTCCCCCTGTGGGTTGTGATGTTTATCGAGATGGGTGTGGGGTTTGTAAATGCTCCTGCATTGTCACTAGGACAGGATGTAGCATTGTCTGCGGCAGCGGGTCCCGAGGTGTGTGCACTCTGCTGCTGGGCGGCCCCGCCGCTGTGAGCTGTGAGCTGTGTCTGTGAGCTGTGTCCTGTGTCCGGGCGTCTGTGCTGGACCTGCGCCTGCTGCTGGTTGTGTGTGTCCGTACGGCCTGCGAGCGCTCGGAAGGGAGTCACCCCGCGTAGCACGGTGGAATGAGAGTCTGACCGTAGGAATGGAATGAAAACATGGCATGCACATTACATTGTGGGTCTGGGAACATTTAAAAAAAATTTCATATAAATTAATAATAATTGCTTCTTCACTTGGTCCATTTCGGCTTCCGAAAGACTTCACAGGCGTGGTCTGCTTTTGAGCAGCGAGGGAAACCTGTATGTTCATTTTCATCATCTCAAGGTGTTTTTACATTTTATTTCTCCTTTAATTTCTTCTTTACCCATTGGTTGCTCAGTAGCATGTTATTTAATCTCCACATGTTTATGAATTGTCCAGATTTACATGTGTAATTAATTTCTAGTTTCATACCATTATAGTCAGAAAAGATGCTTGGCATTATTTTAATTTTTTAAAGTTTATTAAGACTTGTTTTGTGCCCTAGCCAGTTTGGATCAGTGGAATGAGCATCGGTTTGTGAACTGAAGGGTCCTGGGTTCAAGGGCATGCACCTGGGTTGCAGGCTTAATCCCTGTAGGGCGTGTGCAGGAGGCAGCTGATCAGTGATTCATCTCTCATCATTGATGTTTCAATCTCTCCCTCTCCCTTCCTCTCTGAAATTAATAATAAAAAAATTTAAAAAAGACTTGTTTTGTGGCTTAACATATGATATAACCGAAAAATATTCCACGAACACCTAACTAGAATGTGTGTTTTGTTGCTTTGGCTGTTACGTCTTTGTGTATCGGTTAAGTCCAGCTGGTGTCATGTGTCAGTTAAGGCAGATGTTTCCTTCCTGGTTTTTGGTCTGGATGTTCAGTACATTGGTAAGTGGGACGTTAAAACCCCCCACTGTTGTGCTGCTGTCTGTTTCTGCCTTCAGCTCTCTGAGTGTTTGCTGTACATAAGGAGTGCTCCTGTGCTGGGTGCACACACGTTTAAAGTGTTCCATCCTCTGGTGGGGTAGCCCCTTTATTATCCTGTAATGCCCTTCTCTGTCATAGTATAGCCGCCTTAGCTTTTAGTGTTTCCATTGGCACCGAACGCCTTTCCACCCCACCACCTTCAGTCTGCGTCTCCCTTCGTCTAAGGGGAGCTTCTTGCAGGCCGCGTATAAAGGGGTTTAGTTTTATCCATTCAGCTCTCTGTCTGTGACTGAAGAACTCAGTCCGTTTACATCCACAGTAGTTATTGATGGGGAAGTGCTGATGGTCCTTTTGTTGATGGTTCACAGGCTGTTTGTAGTTTCTCGGTCCCTCCTTCTCTGGCTCTCTCCCTGAGTAGTTGATGACTGGTAGTGGCTTACTTTCATCCCTCCTCTTCCTCTCTGTGTGTTTACTGAAGGGTTTCGCTCGGTGGTTATGACGAGGCTTACATGTGACAGCTGACACCCATGACCGTCCACTTTAGGTTGGTAACAGCTCGTTTGCTCCCGTTCTACAGCTCAGCATTTCTTACCTGGTATGTCCCTTAACTAATTATCATAACCACAGTTATTGTTACTGTTTTAGCTTTTAACCTTCTTTAGCTTTAGCTTTATAAGCGATAAATCTACTACCTTTATTACATACCCACCTTTCCAGTGAGATTATTGTATTTCACGTGGGTTTTTTGTTGTTGTTTTTTTGTTTTGTTATTAATTAGCACTCTTACTTTTCAGCTGAAAGAAGTCCCTATCTTGTAAGGCTGGTTTAGTAATGATGAACTCCCTTCGTTTTTGCTTATCTGGGAATCCTTTTCTCCTACAATTCTGATTAATAACTTTGCCATAAAGTGCTCTTTTTCATTTTTTTAATCCTCAACTGAGGATATGTTTTACTGATTTATTTATTTTTAGAGAGAGGAAAAGAGAGAGAGAGAGAGAGAGAGAGAGAGAGAGAGAGAGATATGAGAGAAACATGGGCCAGCTGCCTCCTGTACATGTCCTAGCCAGGGATCACACCCACAACCTGGGCATGTCCCCTGACCGGAATCAACCAGCAGCCTTTCGGTGCATGGGATGGCGCTCAACCAACTGAGCCACACTGGCCAGTGGTGCTGTGCAGTACTCTTGATTGAAAGTTTTTCTTTCTGCATTTTGTCTATATTGTGGCACTCCCTTCTGGCTGCAACATGTCTGCTGGTAGCCTTATGGGAGTTCCCTGTATGTAACAAGTTGTTTTCCCCTTGCTGCTTTTAATATTCTTCTCTTGCCTTTAACTCTGGTCATTTCAGTTATAATGCGTCTCGGTGTGGGTCCCGTGGATTCTTATTTAGAACTCTCTGGGCTTCCAGGATCTGGAAGTTTATTTCCTTTCCCATGATGAGGAAGTGGTGGTTTTTTTTTTTGTTCATGGTCAGTTTTTGAATGTGCACTTGTCTTAGACAAGTCTCAGGCGGGTCTTAATTCTTTTCCTTGTTTGTGAAGGGTAGCTGATGGTCTCACTATGTCTCTTTGGTGCATTAAGTCACTTGTAAAATCGTTTGGAGAATTAGATGTTTTCACACAAAAAATCAACTAATGGTTTGTTGAAAAGTTCAGTCTTGTTGAACAGCATATTCTGTTTGCACCCATAACTTCTGTTTCCCACTCTATGTAATGTCACAAGGCTTTTTGCTGCCCTAAAGTTTGTTTGGACTCCAGTGTTCACCACAGGGTAATGGGAAAGGACACGGGGACAGGGAGCTGGGCGTGCCAGCACACTGTTTAGCGGGGCGGCTGTAGGACGCATTGTGTGTGGGTGATGTCTCTCTCTGGGGGGCAGGATGAAGGCATTGGCCCAGAAAGTGGGAGGGTTGTATTTCAGAAGGCAGGATTCATGAATTTCTGTTTGATTGCAGGTACTTCTTGGTGGATTTTTATTCACCAACAACCACTGTGGAAAGCATGATGGAGCACTTGTCTCGAGACATTGACGTCATCAGACGGAATATTGTAAGACACCCTCTGACCCAGGAAGTGAAGGCGTGCGAAGGGATTGTCCCGGTCCCACTGGAAGAAAAGCTGTATTCCACAAAGAAGAGGAAGTGAGGGTTCTGTTCAGCTCTCTCACCTCTGAGCATCCGGTGAATAATTCACACGCCTGACCTTTACATGAAGTGTGTCAGGTGCCACGTGAGGGTCCGGGTGTGGTTAGCTCTCCATCCCCTTTGCTGGGAGCCACTGTCCCAGTCAAATGCATCGCTCTTGATCTTGTCACAGTAAATGTAATATGTTTGCCCTAAACACTAACACCATTTGGAAGAATAAAACTTATCAAACTAACTGGGATTGTGAGCTGATCGTTCACACTGTATAACCATGCAGAATAAAACATGTGGAGGGTACAGTCATGCGGCATTGTGTAACTTTGATCTGAGTAGTAAACGGTCATGGTGGGTGTGGGCAATGCTTTTCTCTGCCTCCTGTTAGCCGTGGGGACACTGAAGAGCAGAGAGCAGCGCCAGCCCGGGGCGCTCCCTGTTAACCCGGGGGACTCCGGGGAGCCAGCGCCAGCCCGGGGCCACCTCCTGTTAGCCCTGGGGGCTCCGGGGAGCCAGCGCCAGCCCCCTGTTAGCCCTGGGGACTCCGGGGAGCCAGCGCCAGCCCCCTGTTAGCCCTGGGGACTCCGGGGAGCCAGCGCCAGCCCCCTGTTCGCCCTGGGGGCTCCGGGGAGCCAGCGCCAGCCCCCTGTTAGCCCTGGGGGCTCCGGGGAGCCAGCGCCAGCCCCCTGTTAACCCGGGGGACTGCGGGGAGCAGCGCCAGCCCGGGGCTGCCCCGTTAACTCTGGGGACTCCGGGGAGCCAGCGCCAGCCCCCTGTTAGCCCTGGGGACTCCGGGGAGCCAGCGCCAGCCCGGGCGCTCACTCCCTGCTGCTGCAGGCGGCCTGGGTCAGCTGTTGCTTTGCTCAGTCTTCAGGGCCCGGATCAGCTCCCTCCTGCAGAGGCAGAGGCTCCGCTCTGAAGAGCAGCCGGGGAGAAGGGTCTTGGCACTGTGGGCGGAAGTAGCGGGGAGAGGAGGTCACCGGGAGATGGCGGCTCCCTGTTTCCGGAGGAGCTTCCTGGTGGCGGGCCCTCAGCCAGGGCTCTCAAGGGACACTCGCCACCATGGTTTGGTCCTGCGTGCGTTCACCCAGCGTGGCCACCTTTGTGAGAGGAGCCAGCGGACAGAATATGGGGGGTGGGGGAATGCTGGTGGGGCCAAGAGGATGTGGGGGGTGCTGAGGGGCCAGGAGGACGTGGTGGGGGGGGGGTGCTGAGGGGCCAGGAGGACGTGGTGGGGGGGTGCTGAGGGGCCAGGAGGACGTGGGGGGGGGTGCTGAGGGGCCAGGAGGATGTGGGGGGTGCTGAGGGGCCAGGAAGACATGGGGGGGGGTGCTGAGGGGCCAGGAGGACGTGGGGGGGGGGTGCTGAGGGGCCAGGAGGACATGGTGGGGGGGGTGCTGAGGGGCCAGGAGGACGTGGGGGGGGTGCTGAGGGGCCAGGAAGACATGGTGGGGGGGGGTGCTGAGGGGCCAGGAAGACATGGGGGGGGGTGCTGAGGGGCCAGGAGGACGTGGGGGGGGGTGCTGAGGGGCCAGGAGGACGTGGTGGGGGGGTGCTGAGGGGCCAGGAGGACATGGGAGGGGTGCTGATGGGGTGCGGGGGAGCCAGGCCTGCTTTTGTGGGAGAGAGCTCCCTGGGTGCAGGCCTGGCTTGTGCCTGTGGCGGGAGGGGACTCTTACCCTCGTCCTGGCCCAGGGGGACCCAGAGGTGCAGGAAGCACCGCTAATAAGATTAGGAGACGATGAAGGCGGTGGCACTGGGATCACTCAGCCTAAGAGGACTCTGGGTGAAAGTGCCCTGAGGAAGCAGAGGTTTTAGGGGAAGACACTGATCGATGGGGAGCCATTGTCCCAGAGGAAAGGAGGGGGAGCAGCCTTAAACCGGTTCAGAGCTCCGGGAAGTCATCCTTGCCGCCGCCTGGGCTCGCTCGGGCCTGGGAGGGCCAAGCACAGGACCTGCCATCTGTCCTGGGAAGCCCGGGGACACTTTCCGGAAGGTCCCGTGGCGTGCCCATCCCATGAGGTCTTGATGAAGGTGCAGACTCACCTCACTCGCTCCTGAGCGGCCTCCGGAGCGGAGAGTCGGGTTCTTGGCCGGACGGACGGCGGAGCCGCGGGGCCAGGCCGCCGCGCCTGATGGGTGTGAGTGACGCACTCGGCCTCCGCGGAAGTGCGGGAGTGAGTGGCTGGTTTAGAATCTCTCCCTCAGGGATCCTTCAGACAAACCATTTAAAATGTGAAAATAAGGCCGGAGGCATGTCCCTCAGTTCCCCTAGGTGGTGCCCCCTGATTTCCGGAGAGAGTGCCACCCGCAGCGGACCGCCTGCTGGCGCTGCCCCGCCGCGGGCGCCGCGGCCTGGGCTCTGTCCCCGGAAAGGAGCCGCCAGGCGCGGCTTTGGGTGCCGGGCCGGCCCCGGCGCTCGTGTATCTAACAAATGGGCCCACACCGCACTCACGTTTTTAAAAGCCAGCGAAGCCCACGTGTGCACTCCGATCCGCCTTCCCTGCCCTGCCAGCCGGCTCCGTGATGAGTTACATATATGTTACATTCATGTTGGACACGTGCTCACTTCGTGTTTGTGTGAGAGGCGGGTTTAACTTTGGGAGTGAACGTGGACGCTGCGCAGCCACCGAGGCCCTTTGCTCCCGGGACGGGCGGTCTCGGTGGGCTCCGTGCCCGCGCCGAGCAGGTGCTGGGCTCCTGATGGACACGCTGGCCCTGCTGGTCAGACCTGCCGCAGACCTCACCCCCGCAGCCCTGGGTGTGGTGGTGGAGCCCGGTCACGGCCCCTGGGCTTGGCTCTCGGGCCTGGAAAGAGGACGAGGGAAACCTCTCTCCTTGGAACCAAGAAGCTTCCTCATCCCTCGAGCAGCTGGAGCTTACGATGCGTCCTCAATTCTTGACTTTGAATCCAAATTTCTTACCGGTTTCTCACCCTAAACCCAACGCCAGCCCTAACCCTTATCTAGACAGAAGTCCCTGCCCCTGTCCCCTGATTGGCCTGTCTGTATGCAAATGAAGACTCCTCACCCGTTTGATTGTCCAAAAGGACTATCTTTTTTAAAAAATATATATATATTTTATTGATCTTTGTACAGAGAGGAAGGGAGAGAGAGATAGAGAGTTAGAAACATCGATGAGAGAGAGTCATTGATCAGCTGCCTCTTGCACACCCCCTACTGGGGATGTGCCCGCAACCAAGGTACATGCCCTTGACCGGAATTGAACCCGGGGCCTTTCAGTCCCCAAGCCGACGCTCCATTCATTGAGCCAAACCGGTTTCGGCCAAAAGGACTATCTTGATTGGTCAGAGTGGAGCTGCTCTGATTGGTGGATGAAGATGTTAAGGATCTAGCTCTGCAGCTCCGATTGGATGGGGGAGGCCTCAGTTCCCCTGGCTGAACAGGATTCCAGGAACTCTCTAGAAGGGCTGCTCAGATGGCCAGCAGGCAGCCAGCCCTCCTCCCCTGCAGGCCTGGTGGCCAGCGCGGCTCTGCCAGGCCTGCTGGATGAGCACCTGTAACATGTAGAACCCGGACTTTGTTTGCTAGATTTCCATTTTGCGTCCCACAGCTGACTGCTCACAACCCGGAGTAAGTCAGTTCCCAGAACTCACACTTGACCCTGTGAAGCCCGGAGAGTGGCTTCCTGGGAACACTTCTCCTCCGCACAGCCTCCCCCGCGGTCAGCCGGCCCGTCCACCAGCCGCTGGCTTCGTTTCCTTTGTTTTCCGGTGGGAGGAAAGCAGGTTTACAAAGCACCTTAGAAGCAGCGCTGAGGAGCAGTCGGACCTATGACCTCCCCCAGGTTCCCGGGGGGCAGTGTGTCACTGAGACCCGCCCACCCTCGTTTCCGGCTGCGATCGCTGTCCAAAGGCTCCCTCCCAGCCGGACAGGCCGGGTTCCAGGGAACAGGATTGTCAGTGATTTGTTAGCTCTTCTCTCTGCATGGCCACCTTTGAGACGGCCAACACCGATCTGGACAGAAAGCATCTCAAATCCTGCTCCGTCCCAAACGCGTTCAGTGTGCTCGCTGCCTCTACCGTCCGAAGACCCAGTCTGTGACGTCGGCTCTCCCAGGCTCCGTTTCTCCAGATGGCGGACAGCGTGGCCTGTCCGTGTCCAGGAGAGCCGCTGAGTGTCCCACAGGACGGGACTCACGCGTCTCCTGTGTTTGGAGAAGGTTGGCCCGTGTGTCCGGGAACAGTGCCACTAAGGACTGTGATTCATGATCGTGTTCTCGCTGGAGCGTGTGCTGTCATGCTGAAGTGTTCCGGTCTGCTCTATTTAAAGTGCCTGCTCTCCCGTCCTGTCTGAGCCGCGCTGCCAGCCCCGCGGTGTTTACTCTGGCTGATGTCTCCGCCTCTTCTTCTCAAGTCCACTTTGTAGTCTGTTAGGCTTTTCTCATAAGGAGGCATGACCAATTGTGCTTGCTAACTCTGCTTCAGAATGCGTATCAGTCATGGGAGGGATTTGGTCACATTTACTGAGATGTCTCATATCTTTGGTCTTATATCTTCATTTTATGTGTTTTGTTTTTTAAACTATTTTTTACAGTTTCTCCTTGCCTATTTTTTTTTTACTCTTATTTTTCTCTGTTGGTTAAATTTTTTTTTTCCCCTCTGTCCATCTTGTCCCCATTCTTTGGTAACTGGCAGTTCACCTGAGTATCTTGTTTTCAGTTTGATTTTCCTTAATGCAGTGTACCCGTGTCTTTTTTCCAGATCGGAACAGGGCAGTTTACGTTTTTAAACCCTTACACATCCCTCAGCCCCTCCCCGGCCTCCCATGGCATGGTTTTGGCCGAGCCGAGAAATCTGGCTCAGAGCCTTCTCTCTCCAAGGTCCCAGGCCGGCTCCGGAGCCTGGCACTACGTGTGCCCAGGCAGAGTCTGGGGCCATGGATTCCCTTCCCTGTTTCAATAATTTGCTCTTATTTCCTGAAGGCTAGATAGTGTCCAGGTGTGATTCTTGTTTTGCGTTTGAATTACTATTATTAACGTTGCTTGGTACTTAGAGCCCACATTCTGGTCACAGGCTGGTCTTTATTCATGAAGGAGCCTTTCCTTCTGCTTGCTTTTCAGGCTTGTTTCTCCTCACAGTCTTTCCCTTCTTGAACTCTAAGGCTCAGGAGGCAGTGTTCTCCACCGTGCACCACTCCTCACTCTGAGGTTTTATTCCTGATTCTCATTCCATTGCATGTTGCTCTGTGCTCTGACCCCTGACCATTCAGAGCCGTTTCTTTACCGGAACCTGCGACAAGTTCAGGCTGAGGGACGGCTGTGAGCCGTTAGCAATGGCACTTTCATGC